AATAGTGATTTTTCAAAATTTTATTTTGGGGTTTATTATTATTGTTACATCGATTTGGCGTTTTCTATCGAGACTGATCGCTTGTTCGCGTGTTAATTGATAATGGGGTGGTTTTGTGGTTTGGTGGAAAGCAGGAGTATCATTGACGGTACCTGATGGCGGGTAAATGATTCTTTCCCGCGGGATAATCCTTGGGGTGGTTCGGAGAGCATCCCTTTCCTGTGAAAATATATATTTAGACATGTCCGGGGGGGCGGGGGGTGGAAATGACCGGATGGACACCAGAGCGAGGGTGGAAACAGGTCCAGAACCACATGACACCCCGTGTGAAAGTTCACAGTAGGTCTGATGCTCCGCCTCAGTTCCACATACATACGAACGTTCAAAGTAAAATAATAAATTAAGGGTTGTCCGATATGGGATTTTATTGTTATCAACCCTGCGATAAATTCAAAGACTTCCATCGGTTGAGCCATCGAAATTCATCGAAAAAGGACAGTTTCAAATATATTCTTTTAAAAAAAAAAAAATGTTTCAATCATTCCTCAAGTCTTCAAACTATAATCTAATCCAAAACGTACGAGACTTACTTATCAGTAGAGTTCGGGTCAATTTTTCAAGCACATCGAAACCCTATGAAACAGTCAGAAGCGTATCCCCGGGGCAAAATTGAGCTAAAGTATCTTTTTCGGTATTTCGAAACTAAAAAAAAAAACAGTAAAGATTCTCTATCGCACTTGTAAATAATGAATCGATTGTTAGTGACGATTACGGTACGTGCGCGACCCCGTAAATTTCTCAAAGACCAGTCTCTGCATAATAAACGCAAGGGATGCTCGCGATAGCAGTATAACCCGTAGTCCCGCGGGAAGCTATCGTTATCCTACGATTTGGGATCGAAGAAATTCTGTATAAGAGCACAAGAGGAAAAAAAATAAAGTAAAAAACCTTTTAAAAAATTAAATTCCAATTGTAAATACGATCCCTGCCTCTTTGTCCCCGTGCATAATTTAAATTTTGGCAACCATTTTTTTTGACAATCTACACACTTTCACGTCCACGTGCATTATAAAAACTTTTTCTGCGTTATCTGGCAGATCGACAAGGAGTATATGCAAATGTCGCTTCGAGGGTATGGTCCTGCCAGTATATGATATACCCACGTCAGATTCCAAAAAAAAAATCGAATATTATCCTTTTGAGTATTAAGATGAAATCAGTTGGCGAGTCTGGAGTTCCTGCCATCCCTTTAAATTTCGTATCCTTGATAAGGTATGGGACGACGTGCAACATATTATAATACAGGAATTTCGGACCGCTGCTCGTATCATTGTAAAACCGTTTCTATTCCCCACGGGGCGACCCTCTTTCGCGAAAACATATCGGAAATATTGAATTCATCCCTTCGGCATCCCATTCCGTCTTTCTCGCCCTCCCTAGATACCTCGTGTCCTCTTAATCCCATCAGAATTTTTTGTGTAGGACTATGCAAACGGTATAAAAAAATTTCTCTTGACTTTCTATTAACGACTATCAGGGATGTTTTTGGATTTCTAGTAATTTGCACCTCCCCCCCCCCCT